TAATTCTTGGCATGGAGTATAGATCTGAGTACGAAGGGCAGGTGCTATACGGCTGTCAAGGAGAGGGCTGACAGGCTATGATGAACAGGCCTAAACATTGGTGCTGAGTGGAATAAGGACACAGTAGAAGCTGAGGTAGGACAACCGAGGAGTGATCTGGTCTAAGGCCTATAGGTGGGAAAGTAAATCTTTCCCACCTTAACAGATTTTGGAGATAAAATTAATAGTACTTACTGATAATTGAAATATTAAGGATAAAGAACCATGGAAATTAAGTTGGCCCCCAGTGTTCTTGCTTAGGCAATCAGACAGACCCGTTGTCCTTCACTGCGGAAGCTCTGAGAGAAACAGTACTTTGGTATGAAGTTTGGGGGTGTCAGGGAGGGTTGACCAAGAGATATCTTTTGGCATACTGAGTTTATGATGCCATTTAGATGTCCAAATTCAGGCATCTAGCAGGCATTTAGAATATTGACTTGACACTCATTTGGAGATGCTGGTCAGTTTGGCCTCATCTTAGAGAGGTCTCACTGATAGTGAGTCAACGTGGACTCATAGCGACCCTACCGGACAGGATAGAACGGACCCATGTGCGTTTCTGAGACTACCTTTACGGGAGTAGAAACTCCCGTCTTTCTCACATAGGTGACATTTAGTGATTGGGAATTGATTGACTGCGTGGAAAGCATCTCTCAACACAAACAACAGAAGAGGGTCTAGAATTGAGCCCTAGAATATTTTGGCTTCGGGGAGTTCCAACGAAGACGACAGGAGTGGCAGCCGTGAAGTGAAAGGAGTGTGTGGTTTTAGGAAAAGTGAGCACAGGGTCCCCTGAGCCACTCTTGCCCTGCCCACAGAAGAGCGTCTTGGGAGCTCCTGGAGCAAGGACCTATTCTGATTTATCTGCATTCAGTAAATAGTTACTGGATACATTTTTAAAAACGAAACCTGGGCCTTTACTTACGTAATAAGAGAAATAAAGTCAAAAGTGGTACGTAGCAATTCAAAAACTTAATCTCACTGCCACTGTTTAGAGCCTAACTCATAGCATCACTATAGTACAGGATCGACCTGCCCTGTGAGTTTTTGCGACTATAACTCTGTGTGGGAGTAGAAAGCCCCGGGTTTCTCCCGACGAGCCACTTGTGGTTTTGAATTGCTGATCTTGAGGGTAGCAGTCCAATGCATAGCCACTCTGCCACCAGGACCATGCAATTAACAGGATTCAATATGGGAATCTGGGGTGTTTGCATAAAAAGGCAAATAGTAATAATATAGTTCTTAATATGGTTGAACATCTGTCAGATACCTAGCTGTTTATTCATTTGATTCTGAGAGATGATATTTATTTGTAGCTCCCAGGTCATAGTACAACAATCTTTACTGCCACAAGACCACTTTTCAATAAGATTGTAGGCTTACAAAAATCAGTTTTAAGTATGTTTATTTCTTCTCGCTGAGATATTAGGAATGTCTGAAAAGGTCCGTTAAACTGGTTTGCAATAATGGGAATGAATGGACTCAGTAACCCCAAATCCCAGAGGTGGTGCACTCCTCAACAGCCCAGGGATCTCTCCTTCATTTCTTCTCCCCATGATCTTTGCCCTCGGGGCAACGGGGTGCCTGCTGGCCCCTCCTGGAGTCACATTGATTCAGATTCTTATGAGAAAGGACATTTCCCTCCAAGGAGCACTCATCCCAGGCTTCTTTCTGTTGTGCTAGCTAGAGTCTCTTGCCCAGTCCACCCCTGCGAGCGCCCCATCCCACCTCCAGTCAGGTGCCATGAGACTCCTTGTGACTCTTGTGTACTCTTGGGAAAGAGGTGGTGCTCAGATAAAACTAGAGGCTCTTACTTAGAAATAAAGGAAATTATATTGAATGTTAGAACAGATGTCACCACAGTGGAATGAGATGGTTTTCTATGTAGAAAATAAAAAATTATAAGTTTCTTCACACCTTTCAGTAGATAGACATAAACTGAAACTTTTGTTTATGCAAATAATTGCTGATATCAGGATATATAATAGCGCAACAGTTGATATTGTCAACGAGCACAAAAATCTCTGGTTTGTAATGTTTGCCAATTTTTGAGGTATAAATACTCCTCCATGGCTGACTTAAGTCCTACCTACGGGATGTAACTGAACCCAGAGTTGTGCGGATGAGTTATCGTCCACTGGTATTGGTTAGCTGCAGGCTCTACTGAATAAATTGATGTGCTTTATGCCCCCGAGACATCAAATAGGACAGGTGTTGGGCTATTCAAAGTCACCAGCCTCTGCAGGAGCAAGAGAAGAGACTTTCTACTTCCATGACCAGTAACCGTCTCAGAGATCCACAAGGACGACAGGGGTACTATGATTGAATTGATTGATGGCAGCAAGTATGTCCCAAGACATGGCATAGATCTGGCCAACAATTTATATAGGGCATAAAAATGTGTACGTTTTAGAGCATTTGAAGTGTGACACTTTGCTAATGAGTCCTTGGTTGACATAAACGGTTAACATGCTGACTGAGATGGGGGGCTCGAATCCATGAAGAAATGCCTCAAAAGGAGGGCCTAGTGATGCACTCCCCCAAATCAGCCCCCTGGCTTTCTGCTCCCACACACGGGCTTATCATGAGTCAGTCGATTGGACAGCTACTGGAGGGTGGACAAGACTTGGTTAAATGCTTTTTTTTTTGAAGGGGGTGTATAGAGATGCTTTTTAACATCCTGATTAAAAAGTGTCCTGGGTCTAAACCTCCCAACATCTTTTGCTTCTAAATAGACTGATTTTATTCATTTTTTCTATCAAGATATTTAGACAGGAGTTGGTCCTTTTTTACCCATGGAGGCTTTCTGCATTAAATTAATTTGTTTAAATGTTTTCAGATGAGGAGTACTTAACAGCAGCCTTACTTAAAAGATGTTTTGTGAGAGTCATATTCATAATTAATGAAGTTGGGCAGGGTGCTCACGGGAGGAGGCTGACAGTTTTACGTTACATCAGGAGCTCTTGGCTTGTGCTTGCCTGTGATGTGTGTGCGCCCCACCCCCCACCCCCAGGCTGCCGAAGCTGCATGTGGGGATTCGGTAAGAGAAAGTTCTGCTTTGACTTCTCTTTCTCTATGAGTTGAAGAAAGGGTATTCCTCAATGCAGTCTAAGGCTATTCTCTCTTGTTTTGTATGCTGTCATCCCCTCGTTGATACTTTGGTTCAAACACTGACTGATTTATGAAATGATTGTTGAAGCTGGAAAACAGACTGAGCTTAAAGAAATTATATTTTAGGCTAGTTGAGTTCTATTTCAAAGTGGCCACCTTCCCTCGGCCCTGCAGCAACCACCCCAAATCCCCAGAAAGTCCGTCACGTATAAAAACGTGCACTTGGACACAGGTAGTTAAAATTGAAGTCTCGTTCTTTGACACTGACTTTTTTGTTGGTTTGTTTTCTTCCTCTGCCATTTTCACTTAGCTGGTTGGTCTGTGTTCGATTTCAAGTGGGCTTTGCTGAAGCAGTTGTAACATTTCCTCTTGGAGCCGTAGTTCTTGAATGACCCTGGGGCGTGGTACAGAGCAACATTTGAAGCTCTCCCTCTCTCTAGGACAGGTGCATTTGCTTGCTGTTGCATTGTCAGGTTAGCCTTGTGCTTATAAACAACAACACAGTCCCATTTGTGCCGCATCAGCATTCTCTGGAAAAAGTAATCTCTTAGCCTCTTTTTTTAAACAAAACTTGCCTGCATGGATCAGGTGTTGATAGCTTACAGAGCAGATCATCAACCATTTAAGGTTGGATCAAGATGGCTCAAAAAGGACAGCATTTCCCAATGACAATACAGACATTTTGTTAGAATCTCTTCAATGATTCCGCTCGCCCTGCATTTCGTCCTCCATTCCTGTCTGCATTGTCCTTGGGAAATGCTGTCCTTTTAGATCCACTTTGATCCGACCATAAATGGCCGATGATTATGCCACACAGGGTCTGTTCGTTCTGCTTGCGGGGAATGGTGGTGTGAGCGCATTGGACGTCGCTGGTGAACAGGGCCCTCTGGGTTCTGTCCCTCCTGCTGCCCCTTTCATCTCAACTGGCCCTGTTGCTACTGGAGTCCCTGAGAGCGCTACAGGGACATCAGCTCCGTCTTACTCACCAGTTACTTAGCATTTTCCCTCTACTAAAGAGAATTTTAGACCTTTAAGCTAAATCCATGTTGAGTTTCATAAAGCATTTAGTGTGCTAAATCATTTGCAGAATTCTTAGTAACAGAATGGGGATTAAAAAGAAAAAAACCACAGTGGAAACTTCTCAGCAGGTTTTTCAAATTGGATACCAGTAGCTCCCCTGGGGGAATATTGAAAATCTGAGAACTGCTACTAATTATTCCAAAATTCCTGTTCAGCAGCTAACTCTACTCTTGGAGTGACTTTATTTTAAACAACAGCCCTTGATGTAGAAATACAAGAGAAGGCCCCCCCCACCCCTTTGCAGCCTTTGTGGGTTTACGTATGGGCTGTTTGTTTTTCACATAAACAGCATATTATAACTATAAAACAAAAGTCAGGGAGAAGAGCAACATTGTTTTATATTTTTATTAATTATCTTTCATGCCTGCCTTTGTGTAAGACATCTGAATTTTCATATCTGCTTCTGTTTTCAGTCTGGTGCAATATGTTGTTTTGCTTGACATAGATGAAGAAACTCTGGCCTCACAAATACTTAGGTAGAAAAAGGAGTTTTTAATAGCTTCAGTATGGTTTTACTGTAAAACCAAACTACCATTGTTTTATAGGAGGTTGCTCAACGAAGTACAGTCTTTAAAACAACCATACCTGAAGAGGAGGAGGAGGAGGAAGAAGCCCCTGAAGTGATTGTAGAGGAAGAACTGTTTCACCAGCAGGTATTACTTTACCGTATTCTTAGTTCTGTCTTATTAACAGAATCACGTGAAAACCAAAACCAGAAGTCGAGTGTTTTACCTTTCTGATAAATCAGGACCAGGATCCACCAAGCGATGCTCTTACTTGGGGTGTGGGGTGTGTGTGTGTGTGTGTGTGTGTGTGTGTGTGTGTTAATGGGTGGCGCTTTAAGGAGCAAAGTGGCTTTTTCTTGTTATCTCCCAGTGTCAAGTATCAATCTTGGTGTTTTATTGTACATGGCACATTATCGTAGTAGGACATGTATATCACTTAGAAATGAGAGTGTGAGTTGGAAAGGATGCTGATAAATGATTTACTGATGAGTTGTGAGTAAAGCTTTGGCCATTACTAAATTATAGTACATAGCTTAAAAAACAAAGAGTAATAGATTCAACTTCAACAAAAAATTATTTTCTTTATTACGTTTCTAATCATGAAATTGCAAAATGGATTTTGTTGGATGCGTGGGCTTTCAAGAGCCCTTGAAATAAAGAAACTCAGAATTTGCTTTTAATTAATTAAATTAGAATTATTAGTAACTAATGAGCCTTCCATTTATATTCTCAAGCTGTTCAAATCTGATCATTAATCAAAGTTCCTTCTCTTCTTTTTTAAGGCTTTATCTACTTGTCTCTGGATTTATTTGTACAAATGGCTTTATTAGCCCAAGCCCTAAGCCAAATAAACCTTCTCTTACATGTTTCTCCCCCAGGTTGAGAACCATACAAGGTGGTTTTATGAGACAGATTGAAGTATAAGGCCCATTTCCTGTCCTTAGTGGGCAACACCATAATGACAGGAACTAAAATAACAAACCCAGTGAGAGTCATAGCTCAGAAACACCAGACAAGAGTAAGAGTTGCGCAGAGGTGTTGAGAATACTCTCTGGTAAATGATTCTTGTCCGTAGTCTTGAACACCCCTGGGTGTGAAGTTGAGAACCACGTTTTAGGGTATCTTTGAGCGAGAGGAATCGTGGGGATTGAACAGAGAGGGGGACACGCAGACTTTCTCTCCGAGGGCAGTGTGTGCACATGGGGAGTTAGACTCAACTTGGGGCGGGGAAGACAGATACAGAAGGCGCAGAGATGAGTGAGGTTTTATGGTGGTGGGGTTTTTTTTTTATCAAGGAAAATAATAACTACCAAGGTTCTGACGATGGAAAGAAGGGGCAGATCCGTGTTGAGGGTGAAATGGTAAATTCTAAGTCGGTGACTTGTGGTTTGATTATAGAACAGTGTTTCCTCAGTAAGGAAATTTGCGTGTGGGTACTGTGGTAAGAAGGCATGGCATTCGGATTCCACGTGCGTGTAGCTGGACAGGTGGCGGTGGGAGCTCTGAGAATACGCACAGTCGGAGAAACCTGAACCAGGGACTGCGCCTGAGATAAACATGCGCAGCTCTGGGGCAGAGGAATGAGGAGCGGTTGTAAAGAAGGTCTCTGTAGATAGGCCGGCGAGACAAATCAGTAGGAGAGATGCTTTACTCCCAGCAGCAGAGAGAGGATAATTTTGAGGCTGAAAGGTAGTCAGCAGTGTAGTGTGCTGCAGACAGGCCAAGAATAGGTCCTTGAACTTGATGAGTTTCTCTGATGGCCTTTACGAAACCGATTTCAGTCTAGTTGAATGGTGAATCACAAGTCATACTGTGAGGGTTTAAGGATTAGTGGGTGATAAGGACATGAATACAGGGCCCCTTTGACTCCACATTCAAGGGTGAACCCACGCATGGCAAAATGCCTTGAGATGTGGCCACTCCAGATCTAGCACGCTTCGCTCGTAGCTGTGGGTTTAGAATGGAATCCCCTGATCTCTTGTTAATTTCATAAATGCAGTCATTTGAGCAGTGGTTTTAAACCATGCTGACGCATATTAGAATTACATAAACACATGCACAGAGAGACAACCCTTCCCCAATTAAATGAGAGCGCGTTTTTAGATCTAGAAGTGTGGAGATCCTTGTTCTGGAACGCATTGTAATACTCTAGAGGCAGCCCATCCGAAAGGGTTAAAAAAGTTTCAGTGAGAAGAAATGTTAGGCTCCCACTTGGAATAGGTGGTGTGGATTTGTATGTCCCTACTTCTAAGTCCTGGGGATCACTTTCTTAGCACTAACGGCTTCTTTCTCTTTTCCGCATCAGGGAGCCCCAAGAGCAGCCAACAAAAGCTGTGCAATTATGTGAAGTCCGTGACCTTCCTCAGAGACGCCTGGTGACCCGCACCGACACGCGGTGCAGGGCCTTCTCCAAGCACAGGATATTCTTATATTTCCTTTATGTGAATTTTTAAGCTGCGAATCTGATGGCCTTAATTTCCTTTTGACACTGAAAGTTTTGTAAAAGAACCCATATCCATACATTCTGTTAAAAGATGTGAATTATTGACACTGAACTAACTGTACTGTTTGAAAAGGGTCCTTCAAAATTTTTGACTTTTTTTGTATGTGTGTGGTTTTTTGTTTTTAGTTCTTACGGGGAGGTCAAGTCAATAAACCACTGTGTGTCCCAATTAATTTGAAGATTGCTTCATCTAGATTAGCAATCTGCTCTTGATTATTCTCTGCTATATGTAACGGTGCTGTGAGGGAAGGGGAAAAGCATTTTTCAATATATTGAATTTTTGTACTGAATTGTTTTCTAATGAGCAATCAAGATGACTTTTTTTTAATAGAAAAGAAAAGAGAAATTTTGTAAGAAGGCATATTAACCTAATCATGTAAGCACTCTGGATGAAGGATTCCACAAAACTTTTTTTTATGGTCACTTCTCTTAGACACTTAATTCATGAGGGAACACAGGGAGGGCGGGAGGGGGAGAGGGCTTCTCTTAAAATGCATTAGCTGTGTTTTTTTAAGATAGTGTAACTTGCTTTTTTCTTACGTGACATTAACAAATAAAATGCAGTTTTAATATTAATCTACTGTCTTTTTTATCCCACCCCCACCCCTTAAATGAGTTTTGATCAGAGAAAAGTATAATTGTAGTTTTGTGTTCGATGATTTGCCCTCCTGTTTGAACGGTATTTTTTCACTAAGATTTAGACACTGGGCAAGATAAATGGACAAATAATTTTTGGATATCATTTTTTCAGTGCTCTGTCATCATCAAGAATAATGGTCGGTCATAGCAACAATCAAAACTAATGATAGGTCCTAATTAGCCAAGCATTGTACTCTGTGCTTTGTCAACTGTAACAAACACCTTGAAAATCTCAGTTGGTTTCCTCTAGTTCCTAAATGCTTCCACCCCCACCCCCACTATCATGATCTGAATTCTACCTTGCAAGTCTGGCTAGACCAGAGGATGTACACTGGTACAGATAGGAACTGGAAACA